TCCTCTCCCTTTCCTGTCCTCTCTCCCCTTTCCATCTCCTCTCCTTTCCTTCTCTCTCCCCCAATAATCTCTCAGTTGCTCAGCTCTCAGCCAGTTTTTTCTTCCCCCCCCCATCCCCCCCCCCCCCCCCCCCGGCTTCAATCCTCATCCCTCTGGAAACCTTTGTAGGATTTGCCATGGCCTGGATACTCTTTCCTCTTGGGTTTTCATGACAACTACATCATTGCTTCTCCTCCAATTTGTTCGATTACTCTTTCTTAGTGTCCTTCCTTCTAGGTCCACTGTGTGTGGGCGTACCCTGAGGCTCTGTTCTGGGATCCCAACTCTTCTCTCCCAGTAATGTCCCCACTGACCCTAACAGCTTCGGTGAGCTCCATTTTCCTAGGTCTTTCTATCCAGTCCTGGTCTCCCTCTCCTGAGCTCCAGTTCCCAATCACCAACGTCTCCTGGACATTTTGAGTGGACGTCTCATAAACAAACCAAACCTGATGTCTCCGAAGCTGGACTCATTACGGTTCTCACCAAACCCACCCCTCGTCCAGATGTCACATCCTTCCAGTGACCCAGGCCCCGAGACAGCGTCACTCTCCATTCCTCCCTCACCTCTCCCTTACCCACACAGCCAAGCAGTGGTTAAAGCTTCTGGGTGTGGACTCCACAACCCTCTTGGAGGGATCTCCTAGCCACTCTTCTGAGGCAGGCAATATTTATCACCTTTCTCTGGACTAAGGCAAACAGCCTTCTAAGAGGTCGCTCCTCCATCCTCCTCATGCTACAGCCAAGAGATTTTCCTCGAGCACAAGTCTGAGTCTGTCCTCCCCTACTCCATAAACCCCATTAGCTCCCTAGTGCCTCTAGATCAAATAGAATGTCATCTGGAGGAACAGAGTCTCTTCCAGCCCAGCCCCAGGCTACTTTCCAGCCATATTATATCACTTCTCTCCTTTACTCACACTCAGTTCCGCCAAACTGTCCTGCAGCCATCAGGCTCTCTCTCCCTGGGCCTTTGCCCTGATGGTCCTCCATGCTGCTGTGCTCTTTCCTGACCCCCACCTCTTAACACCCTCCCAGTTTCTTTAAAGTTCATCTCATATGCCCCCTCCTCCATAACGCCCATCCCAACCCCACTCCCTGCCCAGGAGCTCCTCCCCTTGGAAATTACTTTGTATTCACTTTGTAGCATATTTTGTACACAATTACATGGGCATGTTTCCCAGGACAGCACGTAAATTCCTTGAGGGAAGGGACTGTTTCCATTTTATCTCTGTAGGCATGGTGGCTGGCCCATTGAGTCATGGAATGATTCTAGGTTGTAATCAAGGATTGGTTGGTCAGCAGGGTGGATGACGTCGCTTCCCTTCTGCGGGCCTCAATCTCCTCTGTTACACAATGTGGTTGGCCCAGAGCTCATCCCCTTCTGGCTCTGAAGGTCTGTGGTCACACGCCATGGGCCTCAAGGCAGAGCCACTGCGCTAGCTAGAAGAATGGAGGAGTGTTTGTCTCTACACTGAGGCCCCACACCATGTTCTTTCCCAAAGGGAGGCCCACATCTCCCGCCTGGGCTTAGCTTACCTCTCAGTGCGTCTCAACATATCGCCCCCTCCTCATCACCTGCCGACTCAAAACAGATAATCAAGCTTATCGATGGTCCTGGTATGCCAATAGCACTAAACCCTCCATGTCTCAGATGCATCTGAGTCCTGTGTCAGCTGGGTCCCATACCAAGGGCTCTGCTCGCCGACATCCAGGGGCGGGTCCCAGATCTCTGAAATCTTTGCACTAGACCCAAGGGGTGGGACTGCAAACTGAAGCAAGAACTAAATGAATGCAGCCTTCCCTCATCATCGGGAGAGACGTTAGAAAATCAAGATTTCTCTCTTCCTGCCTGCACATCTTTCTCTCACTTTTAGAGTAATCAGAAACCCCCTCCACAAATACACACACAATTATGTAGATGTAAAACACATCTGGATATCACATATTGATCTGTTTACATGTTATAACCTCAAAGAAGTTATAAACTCTTGAGGACAGAAGCATTTTCTTTTACCCATATTCCCAGCATCCAACATGGTGCCTGGCATAGAGTTGGTGCCTGGTAACTGGGTGGGATAATAAAGTCCATAGATTAATGATCCTCCCCCATTATTGTGCTTAAAAAAATTAGAATTTCTGTCCAGGCTAAGTTTAAAAAATGGAAATAAATGAGGGAGTCATTCCCTGGAGGCTTTAGCTCTAGGCACCCTTGGTTAGGGAGCCCATTGTGATGAGGTACTCACTCCTTGCCCTAAGTCCCTGCCCGTAGCCTTAGAGAAAGTTGCTTGGGGCACTGAGAAATGACTTGCCCATGGTGCCACAGCTACTGTTGCCAGAGGCAGGACCTGAGCCCAGATCTTCCTCACTCCATGGCCAGCCAACTGTCCCATACCTTATGGTTCCTTTCTTAAAGTCTTTAAAGTTGTACTAGTGAAGCCAAGGCATGAGCACAATTATGAAAAGTAGGTGACCTTCACAAGCTTGTGCAAATCCTCTGGCCCTCCCCCCTTCCCACTGTGCACTGTTTATCTTCCTTATTTCATTTATCTTATGTCAACAAACTGGTGGTTTGTTTAAGAGATTTTCATTGGGGGTGGGGGGAGGGTTTTCGACAAAACCCCACTTCAGGGAAGGTCCTTGTACCAGAGCAGCAAAAACAAGGTTTCATAATTTTCTGAAAGGAGGTTGCCTCATACCTCCTGAACACATCCCACTGACCCAGCCAATCATAATTCATTGATGCAAATATCTACAGCGGTCAATTGAAAGGCAAATAATCCATTATCAAATTAAACTACTGGAGTTGGGGGGAATACTCCATCTGCATTACTAGCCTGAACAAACCTCTCTCTTCCTTGACTTTGGAGACCTGGGAAATTTTACGTCTGGATGGGAACTTCGAGACCTTCTAATCCAAACTCTTACTTTAAGATGAGGAAGCTGAGGTACTGGGTCATGAGGTAATTTGCCCAAGATCTCATAGTAGTAGAGTTGGGGTCCAAAGCTGCCAAAGCTTCTGGCTTTGAATCCAACACAAGATCAGAAGGAAAAGTATACATCTTCCAGTCCAACCTCCTTCGTTTTTCAGATGAGGCAACTGAGTGCCCCTAGAAAAGGAAAGTGTCTTATACGAGGTCCCATGGGGATTTAAATGGCAGAGCTGGGCTTTGAACCCAGTATTTTTCAGTTGTTCACTACATTATCCTGTTAGTCATGCTTTTTCCTGGCTCTCTAGCCTCATTTCCAAATCCCAAACAAGTAAAGACTTTCCTCTGGGGAAAGATGTTTGCAAAGATAATCCACAGGAAGACAACAGGACAATGAAACAAGAAATGTGTTGATGCAAATCAGATCAGTCTTGAGGTGATTACTTCATAGGAAATCAAAAGTGACAAAGGGGCTGCCAATGGCTCAGTCATCCATCCAAAGACAACTAGAAACACCATTCATGGGTGCCGTGGTCCTTCCACACACAGGGTTCATGATAAGTGTTTACAAAAGTAACGCCAAGAAAATAACTACAGTGTCTTGTGCCAGCCTCAGCTACAGAAGGTGAGAAAGATAGAGAAATTCAGAGAAGAGCCCTGTTAATTAAATTGGCAGCTCCTTTCATGTTCTCAATGGTAGGAGATGGCCAAAAATCAGTTTGAAAGAAAAGCCAAAGGCTTATCAAGGACTATACAGAAATCTCACAACTACAACATCATGGCTGGTTTCTTCAAGAGACTTGCCATCAAGCTGGAAACAAAATAAATGAACTCAATTATATCCAGACAGGAGATGTCCTATTACTGAGCAAAGATCAATGTCAATACAAATTAGGAGAATAAACACTAAAACATGCTATTCTACAAGTGCCAACCTAATCTATTGACACTGACAAATGGAAAATGGACAAAAGAACAGACACGAAGACAGACTAACACCATTCTCCGTGGAAGTTGAAACTACTAACATGAAGCAAAGGTCCCAGTGAAGAGTACAAAGAGCCCTATCCAACAATCATTTCCTTTCCTTGGTAAGGAGAGATGGGGCAGTCAGTTTAGAATATGAAATCATTTATATAACCTTATGGAGGAGGAGGAGAATGGGAGGCAGAATTGTGTGGCAGAATGTGGTAGGTTTGGAGCCGTACTCTGCCACTTTACCTGCAAGACCTTGGACAGGTCACTGCTCAGCCTCAGTTTCGCCATCTGTAAAATAATGGAAATAACCTTGAAGGTTCCTTTCCAGCTCTAAATCTATGATACTATGAGTGATACTGGGTCACAAAGGATGCAAGGGCACAGGGACAGGAGATTCCAGAAAATTTAGCATGAGACCCAATGAAGCCAGGTACTCCCAGCAGGAAGGAAGACAAATGGATAGAAAAATGGTACAAGTAATTTGGTTTTTTAATTTCTTCAGTGATAGTGGATTGTGTACTTCATAAAGAATTGAAATGGTACCAGAAGACAAAGAAGAAAAGAAAAGCAGAGGGACGAGACCATGAATCAAGAAAGGAGGTTTGGACCTGAGGAATGTTTATGATGTGGGGGTGGGGGGGGGGTGTCAATAATCAATGATTATTTGCTTGCTTGGTCAATTCTCAAGCTATGTGAAAGAAACCAAACAGAAAGGGGGAAAATCAAAGACATGATTAGCATCCCCTAAAAGTCAAAAGATATTCAGGAACTAACAACTCACATTGCCAATTTCCCATCCTTACAAAATCTTATGAGAATGACCTATCTAGGCACCAAAGGCACTGTTGCTGAAGGTATGGGAAGGAAGAGGGAAGGCTTTCACACATTATATTCCACAGCTTTACTGATTCTCTGTGAACTATTTTTATTTTATTTTTCTTGGTCCCACATGCCTTTAATTTTTAT